ATAATTATTAAAAAAAGAAATATTAAGTAAAAAGACTATATTCTAATAAAAATGAATAAAATTATTATCTTTTTAAAATAGTCCGTTAATTAGGTATTGAATAGTAATATTTTAATAATACTTTTTTTATTTAATTTTAGTTTATTTAGAATTTTTATTATTACTTAGTTTAGTATAATTTTACTATTTTTTTTATTTATTAATCTATTTTTTATCTAATAATTATTAAAAATTAATTATTTATTAAAAGAATCAAATAATTTTACAAATAAATTAAAATTTTATTTTTTACGTGATTATATAAAATTGACAATTGAATAGTGATCATATTGAACTTAGCTCCAAAAACGATTTTATTTTTTTGACAATTGAAACAAGTTCATATCAAAGGGAGGCGTCGATTTATCAATGAAAAAAAGTTATCTCATATAAGTATATTATTACTCTTTTGTTTATTCTGTTATTTTGCTTAGTGATTATTTATTAGTTGTCAAGGAATGCCAGTTGTCAAATATAGTTTGAAATCGATAAATTAAAGTAGATAATTAAGAACTAAATTTTAATTTAAAACAAGTACAGTTTCTTAAAACGTAATTATGGAAAAGTTGCCGGGAGAGCGTGAAGGCACTTTCAAATATTTTTCTAAGGGTTACTTTTATCACAAAGAGGTTAAAAAGGGACAAGATAAAGCGACGTACAGATGTGCAACAAGATCCACTACTAATTGCACTGCGTACGCTGAAGAAAATGAAAGTGGGGAAATCAAGTTTTTCAAAGTGCACGTTGATCCACCTATGCATCATGGTGCGACAATATCGAAACTGAAAACCAAAATGCTGGATTTATCGAAAACCAGTAAAGATCCGTTTAAAGAAATTTACAAGAACGTTTTAAAAGAGTAAGAATGAAAATTTAATTTTTTGTCAATATCATTTTTTTAAACAACAATAAAAATAATTTTTTATTTTTTTAATACAGGCAGTCTGAAGAAATACAAAAATTGATTTCATTTGAGTCAGTCAAATCAATGATGAAAAACAAACGTTACCCGAAGTCAGCCGAAAGTCCAAAATCGATTCAAACTTTAATTCAAACTTTAGAAAAGAACGACGAATTTGAAAAATTATTTCGAGGAATCGTTGAGATCGAAAATTCCGAATCAGCAGCCATAATATTCGTATCAGATATTATGGAAAGATTTTTGAATGATAACCCGACATTAAATGCTTACATTGAAGATAGCGTTTCAGTAAGAAGATTAAAAAATCATTATTATCTAAAAAAATATTTTAAAAATAATATTTTATCCCTTCTTTTAAATTTTGAAATTTTAAACAATCGTTTCTCTAAATTAAATTGGAAATTAACTTTCTTTTAAGTCTTTTGTATTATAATTCTTATTTTAAATTTTAAAATAAAAATTTGTTTTAAAAATAAAAAAAATATTAAATTCTTCAAACAGGAATTTATTCTAAAATTTATTTTAATCAAATATTTCATATTTGGTCAAGATTATTATTTTAATTATTGTTATTTTAACATTGTTTTTATTCGTTAAAATGATATGATTTATTAATTTGGCTAATTTTATTTAATTATTTTTGTTTTTTAGTTTAAATAAAGTTTTAATAAAAAGTAAATTTTAAATTTTCAAAATAAATGTGAACTTAAATTTTTCATTGGAGATGTGAGTTGTGAAAATTTCAAAACATTTATTCCACATATTTTCATTTTTTCAATTCTTTATTTTATTATTACAGTTTCCTCCCGCAAAGCCACCATTTTCGCATCTTTACGTTGTAAGCGTACGAGAAATTGAATCAACAACTGTGCAGGTGAATAATTATTGCTATTTTATCTTTAAATAATTTAATTTTTCTTTTTAATCTCTTCTATTTAAAAATTTTTTTTAGATATTCTCATCAATTTGGGTTATAATGACTGACACGAGTTTGAATTTGTATGATGCTGTTTGGTCAAAAATTCTTGAACTATTTCCACAACTGAAATTCCAGGAAATTAAATGCGGCTTCAAATTTAATGCAGTAACTGCCCTACATCAAAAAATGCCAGAATCAATTTTCATTGGAACCTGCCATAATTATACAATGGTAAATTTATTTAACAAGTAATGCTCTTATTAACAATAAAATATTCCTTCAGAATGTCACTTCTACTTTTAAAAATCCTAGATAATTTTTATAGTTTTGAATATATAATTTTTTTTATGTTAAATTTAGAAGAAGTTGTCTGGGGTGTGAGATTTTATGGTTATTTATGTTTTTGATTTATTTAAGGGTAGAGATTAAAGAAAACTATTTAGGATGCGGCATACCCCATTATGGTTTTCTTGAAATATTTAAAAAAATTATAAAATTATTTTTAACTTCTTCATAACAATTATATGTGCAGGAATTGTTATCAAAGTGGAAATTGCTTGGTATTTCTGATAACCATCAGGAGATATTGTGGATGTCAATAGGATTGCCCTTAGCCCCACTGTCACATTTCCAAGAAGGGTTAACTATTATCCAAAATGAGGCTGACAAAGTTGCTCATGAAGTCCCACTTATTAACAACTACATGACCTATTTAAGAACAAAATGGATGCCATTATCAGATTCCGTGAACTCATTTTATTGTACAGAACGAATGGAACCATTTGAACAAGTGTTTTTTAACACTCTGATTGCATCATTTCTTCAAGTGTCCGAACCTACGATCATGAAGTATATCAGTAAGTTTAAACAGTTTAATTTAATATGGACCACATTTCCAAGATTTTTTTTACATAAAACTCTTCATATATGTATAAAATAAAGAAAAAAAATCTATTTTTTAAATCAAAACAAGTTTACCTGGAACCATCACAAGTTTCACTTTACAGATTCTTCCTATATTAAAAATTTTCAGTTACATTATTTAAATAAATTCTTATTTTAAAGTAAAAATCAATATTTCTGGGGTCGATTAAGTAAATTTATCTTATTTTGATTTGACTTTCACCGCATCTAAATTTTTTCACTACACTAAGATAACGATTTATTTGATTCAACCAAATTTTGTTTAAATCAAACTTAAAATATCTTTGCTATACATTCGAACAAATTTAAATTTAATTCAAACATATTTTTTGGTTCACTTATAGAAATAGGTAATATATTTAATTTAAACATAATTTATGGTTGATTTTATTTGAAGTTAGAGAATTTAAAAAAAATTATAATTAACAAATTAATTTTTTTTATTATATGTTTTTTTAATAACAAATTTCGTTTGACTGATATAAATTAAGTAAATTTTTTTTCTTCTTAATTTATAAAAAATAGAAAAATGGTCCTTTTTAAAAAAATTATGATTAAGAAATAGGAAATATATCTATTTTATACATAATTTTTATTTATGCTTTTGTAAAATTTAAAGCTTTTTAAAAATAAAGAAAAAAAATGTTTATAAATTCTATTTGTCAATTGCAAATTTTAATTCAAAATAAAATTAAAATTTTTTAATTTTTAGAAAATAAAGGAAAAAATTGTATTCAAATAAATGTTCTTTTACAATTATTAACAAATTTCTTCAATTGTACATTATTCAAAAACAACCATAACTTCTTTTGTAAATAAATATTTAATTATTATTTTTCCACAGGAATTAAGATTTTCAAAAATTTTTAATTTTTAACTAAAATTCTTCTCTAAATCAATTATTTTTAATAATTTTTGAAAAAGTTATTTGAGAATTTGCAAATACATTTGTTTGAAATTTAAATTTATGAAATTTGGATTATTCGAAAATTCTTCCATTAAATACAATATAAGAAAGATTTTGGAAATTTTCCCAAAAAAATTGAAGACGCAAATTCCACTAATTATTTAAAAAAATTTACTAATATAAATAAGGGAATTTTTAAAAAAAAATTATCAAAATCTTTCTACGAATTTAGAATCATTCCCATGAAATAATGTAGAAAAAATCCCAAAAGTTTGAAAAAATTCTCTTAAACGTTTAGAAAATTTTCTTATGAAAATATAGGAAAATTTCTGAGAATTTTAAAAAATTTCCATGTAACTTTCAATTATTAAAAAAAAATAGATTAAATTAAACTCTTTAAAAAAATAATTCTTCAAAATTGACAGTTAGTAGTATAGAAAATCCAAATTTTCAAATATTTTAATTTGAAACCTTTTCCAAATTATTCAATTAGGGACCGTTCAAAAAATACGTAACGCTTTAGGGGGGAGGGGGGGTCAAGCTATTTGTTACGGTCAGCAGAAAAAATGGCGCTAATGTATACAACATTGCGTTACATGGGGGGAGGGGGGTCCAAATTTCCGAAAAATAGCGTTACGTATTTTTTGAACGGCCCCTTATTAAAATGCAAAAGTAAATAATTTATTGAATAATTGATTGTTTTTTAAAATTAAATTCTTATAAATAATTTTATTAACCAATTTTGAAATAATTGAATTCTTTTAAGGAATTTTAATCAACTTTTTAAGAATAATTACATTTTTCGAGAAATTTTATTAAAATTGAAATAAAAATAATTGAACTTCTGCAATGAGCATTATTATTTATGAAAATAATTTAATTCCTAAAGCAAATTTATTATTTAAAAGAATAATTGAATTATTGCGAAGAAATTTATAAAAAACTTTTTAATTATTGAATTTCTGTGCAATTTTAATTATTTATGAAAATAATTAAATGGTTGAGTAAAATTTTATTAAAAAATTAAATTCTTTTGGGTTTATTAAAATAGTAGAAATTGAAAATCTTTTGTTATATTTCTTTATTTATAATAATATACATAAAATAGATACAAAGTAAGATACGACAGTAACGATAGCTCAAGGGCTGAGAGCCGACTGACTCGACAAGCGCTATGCTAAACTGAAATGAACGGAACCGGAAATGGACTGACATCTATATTAGTTTTAACGTATTAATTCAAACATTCATACATTACAATCCTCCGGGGTTAGTTTAAGTTACAACCTTTAAGCATTTACACCGAAAATAGTTCGTTGTTTTCTAATCCTCGTAGAACGCCTAAGTTCCGGTTCAACAGATTTTTGTTCGACTTGCTCCACATACTCTTTTTCGGCTCTTACATCGTTGACCGAGGTGTCGGTGATCATAATATTTTTATTTTCTACGGAGCTTAACTCTATAGGTTTAACAACGACGTCTTCTACAAAATTTTTGTGAGAGTCTAACATTTCTATATCACAAGGACTGTTTTTTTCGAAAGCTAAATGACAAGAGCGCAATTGGTCAACATGTCGTTTCCATTCTCTACCGTCACAAGTGCGAACCAAGTATGAAACTGGACTCAATCTTTTTGCGACCTGTACTTTACACCATTTATTCTTTTTTCCCGAATAGTCTTTGGCCATAAGCACCTCCTGTTCATTAAATTCAACTTTTCTGTTTCCCCCGTAATAATTTTTTTGTTTCCCTTGTTCTTTAATTACCCTTTCCCTTATCTCGGTTTTTAATAGATCCCAACGCGTTCTTAATTTTCTTCCCAACTGCAACTCTGCCGGAGAAACCCCTGTCGTGCAATGTGGCGATGAGCGGTAATGGAATAAAAACTTGACCAATGCGTCCTGTTTATCCTTTCCATTTTCGCTCATTAATAAGATAAATTTTTCTTTGAACGTTTTGACTAGATTTTCCGCGGCCCCGTTAGTTGACGGGTGATAAGGAGCAGTTTTTACATGGATGATACCATTCATTTTAATAAATTCCAAAAACGATTGTGACGTGAACGTCGGGCCATTATCCGATACTAACTTTAGAGGTAATCCCCATACTCCAAAATACTCCTTCAATACTCTAATGGTTTCAGGGGCTGTAATATTTTTCATTTTTTTGACCTCAATCCATTTTGAAAATGCGTCGATTATGACGATGTACATATCCCCTTCTACCGGACCAAGGAAATCTACATGCAGTCTATGATTAGGGCCCTCTGGCCAATTCCACGGATGCAAAGTTACTCTGGGCGGATTGTTCGCGTTTTCTAAGCAAGCCACACATGTTTTGCCCATGTTTTCTATATCATTGTCTAAACCAGGCCACCAAATATACGATCGTGCGATGCTTTTCATTCGCACAATTCCCATGTGTGAACTGTGCAATTCTTTTACTAATTCTTCACGGAATAATTTCGGAACGACGACCCTATGGCCCCACATAATACACCCTTTATCTATGTACAAATCGTTACTTTTTCTTGAAAACGGAATTAGCGATTCCGGCACTTTGTTTGGCCAACCATTTAAAACAAATTGTTTGACTCTTTTCAAATTGTCATCTTTATCTGTTTCTTCACTGATTGATTCAGCTGAGATTAACTTAACATTTTCGGTCACGAAATTTAAATATGTAAAATCATCTTTATTGCCGCTTTCAAGATCAACTAACGATGGACCCATGTAACGAGACAAAAAATCCGCGCTCTGATTATTTTTTCCCTTAAGAAATTTGATTTCGTAATCGTACCCTGATAAAAATACCCCCCAACGCTGGACTCGACTCGCTGCCATTTGAGGTAATCCTTTTTTTTCTCCGAATATATATATTAACGGCTTATGGTCTGTTTCGAGTATGAAATGTCTACCGTAGACAAATTGGTGGAATGATTTGACCCCTTCGACTACTCCTAAAGCTTCTCTATCTAGTTGCGAGTAACCGGACTCCGCCTTTGTTAATGTTCGCGAAGCGAAAGCCACGGGCCTTTCAACATTTCCTTCCAACACATGAACTAATACTGCTCCCAAACCATAAGGGGACGCGTCAGTCGTGATTTTAACTGGCAACCTTGTATCATATGGCATTAAAACCTCACTCGACATCAAACTTTTTTTTGCACTTTGAAAAGCTCTATCACTTTCACGATCCCAATTCCATTTTTGATCTTTTTTTAGCAATTTATACAGCGGGTACATCATACTAGCGTAATTTCTAATAAATTTCGAATAATAGTTCATTATTCCTATGAACGATTGCAATTCGGTTACATTAGTTGGTTCTTTTATTTTTAAAATTGCCTTTACCTTGTCCTGGGATGCGCTAATACCTTTTTTTCCCAATTCGTAACCTAAAAACTTTACATTATCCTTAGCAAACTCGCACTTATCTCGCCCTAACTTTAAACCCGAATCCCTGATACGACGCAAAACTTCCTTTAATCTCGAATCGTGTTCCTCTCGAGTTGATCCCAAAACAATAAAATCATCGAAAAAACCAACGGCCCCCTCAATTCCTGACAAAAGTTTTTCCATCTCTCTCTGAAAAAGCCCTGGAGCCGAAGAAATCCCGAAATTTAATCTGTTATATTCAAATAACCCTTTATGAGTGGTAATAGTGGTAAGAGGCCTCGATGATTCGTCAAGTTCTACCTGCAAGTACGCAAAAGATAAGTCCAGTTTCGAAAACACTGTACCGTGACTAAGTGTCGCTAATAAGTCTTGAGTCCGCGGAATTGGATGTCTGTCTATCTTTAGACAAGGATTAACTGTTATTTTGTAATCGCCACAAATTCGAACTTCCCCATTATTTTTTAAAATAGGGACGATGGGTGTCGCCCAGTCCGCATGTTCGACTAATTTTAATACTTCTAATCTTTGAAGTCTGTCAAGTTCGTCTTCTAACCTTACTTTTAATGCATAAGGCACTGGTCTTGGTTTACAAAAAACTGGTTCTACATTATCCTTTAAATGTAATTTCAATTTAGATACATTATATTTCCCTAATTTATCTGAAAATGTGTCTTCGAATTCTTTTAACAATAGTTCAATATCGTCGATTTTTGCAATATCCAGTTTTTTGACATTTCCCAAGCCATTTTTGAATTCCAAATTCAAGCTAGATATCCAGTCTCGGCCTAAAATAGGTAAGCTTTTCCCTGGCAAGACAAACAATTTTAATTTACGTTGCATTTCATTGCACTCAACCTTAACCTCAAAAAAACCACACGGAATTATGGGATCTCCCAAATAACTTTGAAATTTCCTATCAGTTTTATTTAACGTTAATTTTTTAAATATTGAATTTTTGAAATAATTTTCTGAAATTGCTGAAATTGGAGAACCCGTGTCTATTTCAAAATTAACAATATTATCATTTAACTTTAATTTTATTTCGAAAGGTTTAATACAGTTTACTTTAACGATGTCCTCCAATTCAAATAATCTTTCGAAATCGTCGACTAAACTTTCACTTTCTTCTAAAAAATTTTGTTTATTAAAATTTTGCTTCTTAAATTTTACATTGTTTGTTTTTTCTTGACTCGAATTAAAACCCTTAGTTTTACACATACCTGCTAGATGGCCTACCTTACCACAACTGTTACACTTATACGATTTATACTTGCAGTTGGCCGGACTGTGATTACTTTTCCCGCAACGCATACATTGGAAAGTCTTATCTGTTTGTTTTTCCGAAGATCCACTGCTGCCACTCTTAAAACGATTTTTATCCCTGATGACATTTACCGACGGCTGCTCTGTTTTTTTGGTCGACTCGTTCATCCCTGCTGCCCCCTTCGACGCAAGTTCGAACGCTGTTGACAATTCCACCGCCTTGACGAAAGTTAGATCTTTTTCTCTTAATAATCGTTTCTGTAGCGCTTCTGTTCTTAATCCCCAAACAAACTGATCCCTCATTGAATCTTGTAAGTTTGCACCAAAATTACAATACGTCGAAGCTTTCTTAATTTCTTCGACAAACGCTTTTACCTCTTGAGTCTCGCGTTGTACACACTGACGGAATTTGTAGCGCTCGAGAATTTCGTTCGGCGTCGGCTCCATGTGGTCCTTCATAATGGTTGCCAATTCGGTAAACGTTTTCGACGATGGCAAATCTGGCGCGCACAAATTCCTTAGAATCGCGTAACCTTCTCCTCCAAGCAATGTAAGAAAGAGCGATGCCTTTTTATTTTCTTGCACACTATTTGCAATGAAAAATTGTCCTAGTCTCTCGAACCATAATGTCCAATTTTCTTTACGAGAGTACTCGTTAATGGAACCAACAATTGACGCCATATTTCTTCGATCAGCCTCTATTCCTGCTCTTAATTCGTTGAGTCTCTGACTTTCTCGACTCAAATGTTCCCTCTGAGCTAAAAGTTCGTTATGCCTTTTGTCTAACTCGGTCGTTTTCAATTCACACTTATGTGCTGCGTCTCTCAAACGAGATTCCCACTGCACCAATTCATCTGCACTCTGTTTCGAAGTCATTAACACTTCACTTCAATACGATTTATAAATTCGTTTTTATCCTCGTCGCCAATGTTATATTTCTTTATTTATAATAATATACATAAAATAGATACAAAGTAAGATACGACAGTAACGATAGCTCAAGGGCTGAGAGCCGACTGACTCGACAAGCGCTATGCTAAACTGAAATGAACGGAACCGGAAATGGACTGACATCTATATTAGTTTTAACGTATTAATTCAAACATTCATACATTACATCTTTGAAATTCGGAAATTTTTTGAAAATAATTGAATTTTGGAAAAGAATTTCGTTATTTAATTATGAAAGATTTCGACTATATTACACGGAGAAAAAAGGATATTTAAATTTACCCTGAGGATTGTAAAACTTGACAAATTTTCAGTGTCAACTATAGGACAACACTCTGTTGTTTATAAATTACTATTTATATAGTGTAAAATAAACGTAATTAGTTTTACACTCCAGGAATGTGTAGTACTTTATTTTGTCTGTTTAATTAGATTTTTAAAAATAAACTTTTATTTGTAAAAAATTTATTTAAACAATTAAAAATATTTAACTTAGATAATAAAAATTTTAAATCGCAGAACATTTTTGATTTTTTAAAGTAGTTTTTAACTTTTCAGTCAATAAAAGAGTTTCAGAATTCATTTAGTCTTTTTAGTAATAGGTAATTCTTAAAAAAAAATTTTTGTTGAAAAGAAAAATAATTAAAATATTGAACATTTTAATTAATTTAAATTTTGTTTCAATAGAGAATATTATTTTATAACATCCACAGAAATAAATCACAAATAAACAATAACCCATATTTTTAAACGTCAAAATTTATTTATCGTTGTTCATTTTTTAGCTGCATTTGCGGTTAGTTACTTCAACTAAAAAACTGGTTAGTTTAAATTTCCTGGAGTGTAAAACAAATAATAAAATATGTGTAACTTTTACGAAAGAAAAAATATAGTAAAGTGTAAGTAATATTATGAAGAAGATTAGAATGACTAAATAAATTTTTAACATTCGAAATTTAACACTCCAGTTTTCTCCGTGTAGCAATTAGTTTAGCAATTAGTTTTTTTGTTTTAGCAATAGTCGAAATCTTTCATAATTAAAAATTCTTAACCAGCATATAATTTCCTACATTAATTTCGTTATTTATAAAGACAATTGTAATGTTTAAGTAAAATTTTCATTAAATAATTTCTAAGTAATAATATTATGATAGTTGTTTAAAAATTAAGTTATTTAAAATGAAATTATTGTCAGAAGTAGAAAAAATTAAAAATTTTTTGTATTAGAATTTGTGGTGATTTTGTAATTTAAGAAGCAAAGTTTCTTTAAAATTATAAATCTATAAATTTGATTTTTAAAATTTATTTTTTAGAAGTGCTAGTTAAGCTTATGAAAAAGGAAGATAAGAAACTAGAGAAACTAATTGATGAGGAGCAAAAATTAAAACAGGGTCGAAATTTGCATTGGACTATGGACGAAGAATTCATTAAAGATCGTCAAGAAACACTCACAGTCAAAAAGTAAGAAAAAATTATTAACCATTAACTGTCGGATGGTTGCCGGCGAAAATTAAGCTACAAGTTTATATAAGTTATACATGAATTAGTAGCACAGATTTACTAAATTTATTTAGAAGCAATACTTAACACAAAAATTTTTTATATAAAAAATAACAATTATTTTAAATTCAAATTTAGATTATCTTTGAAAGGATTCCTCCATAATGTAATAAATGTAAATAGACGTTTAGCCTATGACACAGTATTGTATCAAATATGTACGTAAAAATTCAAAATAACATTCATTAACATATTCATACATTAATCTAATAATCGTTATATATTTAAAAACTTTTAGATTCCGAAAAAGAGACTGAACTTTTGGCGCAAAACTCAATCATGGAGTGTAACAAAATTACCGAAGGTTATAAAGATTTTCATACCCTCTTAATATATAGGGCAAAATTCCTCAACTGGCTAGGTCAAAAAATAAATTTTCTCGAAACTTTGTCAAAATGTTACTATTATTAGTAGAAGTGTAAATATTAATTATTATTGAATTTGATAAAATATTTTTTGAGTTACGGAGTTCCAAAATTTTGACTTTATTGAAAATATCTTTTTTTCGATTTAATATATTAATAATTAAAATTAATCGAATTAAAAGTGTGAATAGTAATTTTTAAAGGGTTTGTCACAAGTCAATCAAATCAATTTTAAGATAAATTGAAATTAATAATTTGACCTTGAATTTTAAGGTTAAATTGAAAGAAAACAATTTTTATTCATCACTAGCTTGTAGCTCCTGAAAAACTCTCTCTTTTAGATCCTTTTTAAATTCTCAATCAATTTTGAACTGTTTATCTTATCAACCTAAGGATTCTTTAAAAATATATTTTAAACTCTGCAAAATAAGTCTGTATACTTTAAAATCCTTATAAAAAATATTAAACACTAGATAAAAATTTTAAAAAAAACTCCGAGGGTTCTCCGAGGGATATATAATACAAAGTTCTATGTCGTTTTGAGTTTGTTTCAATAAATATATCTACCAGTTGTGCATATTAATTATAAACTTACGACTTTTTATTATAGAAATTGTATCTGCCCAGCTGCGCATGAAAATAAAAAAGGTTGGTTTAATGCAGTCAGAAAACGAATCGATTGAAAGTCCAATTGTTCCCGCACTAGGTAATAGAAATAAAAAAAATATAATAATAACCAAAAAATAATAATGAAAATCTTGTTGAATTATAGACTTTGATCAAATATCGTTCAATGAATATGGTGAGAAAATAATAATTCCTAAATATAATTTATTCCAACATAAAAAAATAATCGTTCATTTTAAATATATATTTAAAATGAATGAATTTAAAATGAATACACTTAGAAAATAATATATTAATATTTTTTAAGATGTTTCCGATTTCGTTGACAATCAGGTTGAAGAGGAAATTCCTCAAGAAGGTATACAATACGTTGAAATTACTCCAATTCAAGTGTAAATTTCAAAAATAACGAAAAATTCTAAATTAATTTTAGAGAGTTTATTCATGTAGAGTCGATCAATAGATAGTTAAAAATATATTTTTTTTAATTTTGGAGAGTTTATTCGTGTAGAGTCGGTCAGTGCTCTCTAAATCTGAATTAGTAGTTTTCTACTAATGAAATAGTGCGGATTTGTTTACCAATTGAATTAGTAACTGTTTTTATTAATTTTTAGTAGAAAATTTACTAATTTAAAATAGTAAAAAATACGTTCTACTAATTAAATTAGTAATTTTCTACTAGCAATTAGTAAAAAAAACTACTAAAAATTAGTAACAAATGTTACTAATTCCAATTGGTAAACGAACCCGCACTAATTCAGATTTAGAGAGTGGATAGTTAAAAATATTTATTTAATTTTAGACAATTTATATGATAAAATTTCGATTAACGAATATGGTGAGAAAATAATAATTACTAAATATAATTTATTCGCAATATGAAAAAAAATAATTATTTTTAAATAAATAAACTTAAAAATTAATATATTAATATTTTTTCAGACGCTTCTAATTTAGTTGACAATCAGGTTAAAGAGAAACTTCCTCAAAAAGGTATGCACCATGTTAAAATAACTCCAATTCAAGTGTGAATTTTAAAAATAACGCAAAATTCTTTTAGAATTATCTGCACCAATAGACGATCTCGTTCAACAGGAAGTTGATACATCAGGTACTTTAAAATGACAGTAAAATTTCCTCCAATAAAGTAATAATTACTAAAATATTAATAATTTTAAATTATTTAATTAAACGACCGTCGTTATTATTTATGTGACTAATATAATATTTAAAAAGTTAAATTTATAATATTATACTTACCTATTATTTATAATCTAGATAAAACAGATGAAACAACAGCAGAAACTTGCGAAATTCCAGAAAAGAAAAAACGCGGTCGACCACTCACAAAATGTAATAATGTCGATACGTTAAATAAAAAATCAAAAATGCACCTAAGACGATTAAGAAAAAATGATGCCAAAAATGAGGAGCAGGCACCACCTCAAAAAAAAGGACGAAAAACAAAAAGAAAATAAGTTTTGAAAATTAAATTTTATTTTATAAGTTAGTGTTTAATGATTTCCTACATGTTTCCGTTCGTTTTTTCATATTTAATAATGTATTTTACATGTTGACATATTAAAAAAAAATAAAATGATTTATATTATAAAATATTCCAACAAACTTTTCTTCCAATTATTTTTAAAAACTAGAGTTAAAAAAATTTAAATTTATTTTGGAGAGTTGATTCGTGTAGAGTCGGTCTGTGGAGAGTTACAAAATTTTAAATTAATTTTGGAGAGTTGATACGTGTAGAGTCGGTCTGTGGAAAGTTACAAAAATTTTTAATTAATTTTGGAGAGTTGCTTTGTGTAGAGTCGGTCTGTGGAGAGTTACACAATTTTTAATTTATTTTGGAGAGTTGATTCGTGTAGAGTCGGTCTGTGGAGAGTTACACAATTTTTAATTAATTTTGGAGAGTTGATTCGTGTAGAGTTGGTCTGTGGAAAGTTACAAAATTTTTTTATTAATTTTGGAGAGTTGATTCGTGTAGAGTCGGTCTGTGGAGAGTTACACAATTTTTAATTAATTTTGGAGAGTTGATTCGTGTAGAGTCGGTCTGTGGAGAGTTACAAAATTTTTAATTAATTTTGGAGAGTTGATTCGTGTAGAGTCGGTCTGTGGAGAGTTACACAATTTTTAATTAATTTTGGAGAGTTGATTCGTGTAGAGTCGGTCTGTGGAGAGTTACACAATTTTTAATTAATTTTGGAGAGTTGATTCGTGTAGAGTCGGTCTGTGGAGAGTTACACAATTTTTAATTTATTTTGGAGAGTTGATTCGTGTAGAGTCGGTCTGTGGAGAGTTACACAATTATTAATTAATTTTGGAGAGTTGATTCGTGTAGAGTCGGTCTGTGGAGAGTTACAA